TCATGACCATAGGTGAGAGTCGGAACGTAGATTGACCAGTAAATCGAGAGCTTCGCCTTACAGCTCAGCTCCTTCTTCACCACGACGGACCGGTACATCGACCGCATTACTGCAGAAGCTGCACCGATCCGCCTGTCAATCTCCCGTTCCATCCTTCCCTCACTCGTGAACAAGACCCCAAGATATTTGAACTCCTCCACTTGAGGCAGGAACTCTCCACCAACCTCCACTAGCCTAAACTAGATGTATAGAATATCTCTTGCATAGTGGTGATAGGACATACCCTACCTTTCAAATAGCATACCATGCATCACTGCTGTGGCTTAGGAGTTAAGTTGCTGACCATGAACTGCAACATCCCTGATTCAAGTCTGGGACCTATGTTACATCTCTTTCTCCTTTGTTTTCTGTCATCTTCTGTAGTTAAAGCAAATAGATAACACATAGGAAAATAAATAATTCATCTTACCAAAGGGAAGCATATGTATAGATGACAAACAGATTTGGACCCAGGACAGAACCCTGGGGCATACCACAGCAGAGTAAATTGCTAACTTATTTTGATGTTACCAACTCATATTTCTGTGCATATTTTAAAAAGAAATTTGTTTGAAACAGCATAGGTTTTGACAGATATTACTGTTTCAAACCATTTTAATGTATTTATTTATTTCATTGTTATATTTTTAGATCATTTGAGTCAAATTCCAGGAATCAACTATATTTCACACCTCTCAAAGTGGAGGACTTGCCCATTTTGGCCTCTGAGTATCTCCATGTGGCAATTGGTGGTAATTTAATTACCGTACTTGCAGTGTGCCAATCTGGCTGTGCAAAGTCAATTCAAACCTTATCTTGAATGCTGCTGTTAGTGAGTGCTGAAGGACAAGGTCATGACCCTCATACAAACTCTCCCTGTGATCAAATTCCCAACATGACAGACAACAGCCACCTCTAAGGTTGACCTTTCACTCTCCTCTCACACCCTTGTCCACCACCTCTCTCACCTATCTCCCCACTTAAGCCACTAAATGAATCCAGAGGCTCACATGATTGCTGAAAGCACTGCAGAAGACCACAAGTCCAAAGTTGTTTCAGTGCACCACCCTTGTCTGTTTCTCCAACTCCCCCCTTTGTGGCCTGGGGGCTGTCACACAGGAAACAACTTGGACATATTCCCAACTCCCCCTCCTTTCTCCACTCTTTCTTTCCCTCCTCCTTTACATCCTCTGTGATGAGGAATGTCCTCCCGCTGCGATAGTAGCCAAGATGTGGAGCAGGCTCCTGTTTCCTGCCCGCCTGCATCTGTTCCCTCCAGCGCTGATCCCTGATAGAGGTTTCATCGAGCCTGGGAACTGACCAGCTCAAGCTGACAGACGGACAGAGGGGTAGAAAAGAGGTTCAATCCTGCCTGCCTCAACGTCCAAGTTCCCAAGCCAGTCTCTTTTCCTGGAGGCCAGACGGAGACCGAGGTTGTTAAACTCCAATTAGAGTGTCTCCTTCTCATGCAGTCACTGGGAATGATAATAAAGATCAGTGTTTCGGTCAGTGGGCAGATATATGTGATAGCCTGGTTTAAAAACAAGTAAATTTCTCACTGGGTCCTTTGAGTATAAAACAAATACACTTTTTATTTGGTTCATGTATAGTAAAGCAATGCAAGTATTCAGTGCAAATCTTCTCCCTTTCATAAGAAGCAGGAGCTCCTGGCTGTACTACAATCATCCAGGGATTTTTGATTAAATAAGAAGCTGTTCCTTTAAAAACCCATCCCCGCTGTCTTTGCCTGCATCCTCTCCCTGTCATTTTACATAAGTCTTTATTCCTTCTCCACCGTGCCCCCCCTGCCCGCTTGTTTCTCTGATCTTCCCAAAATACTTTAAATACCCCTTTAGAGTTTTGGCCATCCCAGAGGAGTATGTGTTTGTGTGTAAGCAAGAAAACAAGAACCATCCTAAAGAGGACCTGCAACAAGCAGGCACTTTTCTCATGAGTCATGTCCAGGTGTGGAGAGGATCAAATTCCTACGATTAGATTTATGGCGTAGTCCCTATAACAACAAACCCCTCCTCATTCGGCAAGGCCCCATTTGATGTCTCAGTCTACTCAGGGAGACATTTCATCATGAACACATAATTAAAGTTAGAAAAATAAGCCGCTCTCATGACAAGCAAATGTCCTGTGCTCTCTCTTCCCTCCTTTCCACTCCTCCTCCTGTACTGGGGATTGTTGCTGCTTTTTCAGGCCCTTCATTCACTCCCTTTGGTCCCTGTAACCCTAATAGTGCATTTCCTGCTTAGCAATAACAACCACAGTGAAAACATGCACAGAACAGGGTATTACAAAACAATACTATTCAGTGCAATACAACATTTTGCATTCTTATAAATTACAAATGTTGGATTTTATATGAAAGGACATATGATTTCCAGTTATTTTTTATATTAATTGAGCAACTGTGGTTATTTTAAAAAGCCAATAAGGCCAATTCCTAATAAAATAAGTTTTTCTTCTATATTGTTTAAAAATGTTGTTTAAGAACAGAATTTCAATTGTTAAACATGAAAACAGGATCTGACCATTTGCTCTGAGAAGCTACTGCTCCAGCTAGAGAAACAACAATAGACCAGTTATTTGTCCTCTGTGTGCATAAGTGTGATCTAGAATAACAATGAAGATACAGACTTGATTTGACATTGTTTCATTCACAGGACAAACACTGGCTTGTTAAAGACACATGAATAAAAAAAAATGCCCAAGCGAATTCTGATGCATGATGATATAATATACCTATTATATATACAGTATCATGTCATGCTAAATGGAAAGCTGTGGTTCAGATAAACCAAATTTTCTTTAAAAAGTGAGCTAGTAACATTTTAATTTAGGGGCTTCATGAACCAGCCATGAATGAATGAGGAGCTCGACTGTAATTGCTCTTTTGAGAATATAATAGTGGGCTAATGAGACGCTCTTGTTTGGGGACCTAAAACATTACAATATGATTGTGGAAAATCAATTTAATTGATAATTAATTTAATAGCTGCTTGTGTTTTCTATCAGACCCCAAGTCAGAACCTGAGGATTAATTAAAAATATGAACCAGGATTATGATACATCATAGAACTCTACGTGAAAGTAGATCCATGTTTTCCACAGAATGTCTTCTCTCTTGCACAATACTGAGGGTTTAATTACGATCAGTTCATGTAAGCTGCAAAGTCTCTTCCCCTGCAGCAGGGGACGAAAGTCTTGTGTTTGGGTTTATCTACACCTGGAGCGGGTGGCCTCCAGGGCTTTTTGGTGTCTCCGTTTGTTGAACCTCTTGACATAGTTGTTGCTTCGCAGGAGGCCGTCTCCAGGCTTCACTTTACCTCCCAGCAGGTTCAAAAGGTCACTGGGAAGATGGCGCCTCCGGTGGTAGATCTGGCCCATTATAATATATCTGGTCCCTTGAGAACAAGCAGAGAAAGTTTTAAAGTAACTAGAAAAAGATGATTTTGATGTTTGCTCTAAACCATGGATGCATTAAGGAGAACTGGATACTGGATTACAAGATTGCACCCATTCTTCCCACCTAAAGTTGCTTGCCTGGTGCATATGCCAAGAAAAAATTTCTTCCAGGTTAGCTTCCGCCTTGTGTAGCCCATTTCACATGTGCAGTAGTGTGTTCCACCATGGATTAAAAATTCATAATACAAAGAGTGATAACTGACCTGGTTTGCAGCTTGAGATGTGCTGTCAACAGTTTTACAGACGTCTCTTTTATCATTGTGGAACATACCCAGAGTGTATACCAACAAATAATCAACAACAGCAGTGGATAATAATGTAGCAAACTTTATAACAGTATTATTAGTAATTCTCACTGGCAAAAAGTGTAATTCAGCAAGTGAGCATTTAGGAATAAAAATGGGTTTAGCTCACAAACATAAACATGTTGTTACTATGACACACAAAGCAGTTTACACTCACCATTAATAACATGCTCTTCTGTGTTGAACAGAGGAAAGCCTAGAGGCAAGAGAAACAGAATGATCCCTGTCATCCTGAGCGTTCAGTGGGGACGCACTTTAAGGTCTGCTACAGAGCGGGGATTCCTGGTATTTTTATACGGGTCACTCAGGAATGAGATGGGATGGGATGGAAAGGGGAGTAGTGGGACGTCCCAAACACAAAAATAAACACTTTGATGTGACACTCCTTTCATTCATAATTGGATAAAAAGAAAATGCTCCCATTGTTTTTTTACATCATAAGAGGGGAAATGTGGCTCTGTGAGGATCTTATCAGCTGTTCACAGAGTAGGGTTTATTTATTTTATGTTTATGTTCTTGTATGTGGAGTGCAAAAGAGTGTCCAAAATATTCTACATTGACAGTTTGATTTCTTGATTCCTCAGATGTCTGAATTTTTAAAAGAATGCCTAAAATACATATATATAAATGTACATAAAATACTTATTATTTCAGACCTTAACAAGTGAAATGACAGGTGTAGTAAAATTGAGTCTTCACTGTCATCTGGTGGTCATCATGAGGAACTGCAGCACAGTATTAAATATGTCACATCAGCGTCCATCCATTATCCATCAATCCATCCATTTTCTATACCACTTATTCCTGAATAGGGGCACGGGGAGCTGGAGCCAGTCCCAGCTGACATTGGGCAAGAAGCGGAGTACACCCCGGACAGGTCACGAGTCTATCACAGGGCTGACACTTAGAGACAGAAACCACACACACGAACACTCACTCCTAGGAGCAATTTTTTTTTCATTGTAGTACCATGACCGGCCACTGGGAAAAACTGACTGAACAGCTGAGTGGCAGTGGGGTGTATCCAGCTCTTATAATACATCCATACTCTAAGCAAGTAGTTTTTACTGCATAAGCTGATCTCAGGAAAAAAGAATTCCCACATTCCACAAAGAGATGGAAACTTGTTATAGAATTGTAATTATGTATAATATGAATATAATTAATAGATGGGTAGCTACACAATCATTTTTATTAGCCACGAGAGTTTAATTTGCAAAAGAATACTTTGCAAGTGTATATACAGTTTTATTTTTTAACTAAACCAAACAGCCTGTCTACCTTCTGAGTTCATTTTGGCTTATTACTTACCCAATTTGATATCAGGGCAGGGTTTGCTGCAATTGTATGTGTCCAGGACCAGAAGACGAATTTTTAAGAAGAAGCTGTCTGGGGTCACATAGAGACGACTCATCTTGTAGAAGCCATTGCTGCTAACCATCAGTGTAATGAGGCGTATTCCGTTACGCAGCACATCAATGTCATGAACTATCCCATTGACAGCTGTTTCAAGGACATGAAAAGCATGCTAATAATATATGTCATAGAACGTGCACATGTCATGCATATTTAGATGGATGTTTTTTTAAAGAACTAGTTCTGGGAAATATACATTTGCTTTCTTGTCCAGAATTGGATGAGAGGATTGTACTTTCACCATCAGGTAAATATGAAGCTGAAGTGAGCGGTTAGCTCAGTTTAAGACTGGAAAACAGTCTGGCCTATGATAACTTGTCACCTTCTAACAAAGCCAAGCTAGCTGTTTGCATCCTTTCCTGTTTTTAGGCTAAGCAAAGCTAACTGGCTACTGACTGTGAGTTCATATTTATGTTACAGATCAGATTTTGTCATCTATCTCTCAAAAAGAATCAAATTAACATGTTTCCTAAAATTCATGTCTAGCTGCCACACACAGATAGACTGCACAGCAGCTTAGCTCAAAATTTAACCAGCTAGTAAAACTGTATTAGTTAATTACCACATACAAGAAGCTAATGAGTCAAAGATTGTTCCAGATTTTAATTATTATGGATCAATCATTATTATAAAAATCACTAACTATGATCACCTTCAAGGTGATTGGTCAAGTCTTCTGAATCAAAGCCTGCACTTAATTTTTGCTTGTCTGCCATTGGACAAAGTCCTTGTCTATCATTTGATACATACCAAACTCACTGTAGCAGTAATACTCTCTCTCCTCCTTCTCCTTCCTGCACTCACTCATGCAGAAGGCATCGTGTGTGAAGTCGGATTCTGCAGAGAAGACAAGCAGGGGACAAGATGGAAGAATGAGAAGGAACGAGAGTGACTGTTTACTAGAGTCTTGTTGCAGCATTACAAAGGGCAAGGTTGTCATGCCTCAACAGGGGGACTGGACAAGGTGATATACTGTATGCAAAAGTAATGCTTATGTGCAAGACTGGACAAGGTGATATACTGTATGCAGTGGTGTCATATCTTAATTACAATATCAGAACAGTCTGACAAACTTTGCATTAGTGTCATTACAACCTCTCACTCCCAAAAGATTGCACATAAAGGGACACATTGACAGCCAGATTTCAGGGACGTGGCTGTAATTATTGGCAGGGGACACTGACTAACTACTAGGAATTAGGAAAGGCAAAAAAAAAAAACATCACTGTCATTATCACTCTTTAAATTTGTGTGTGAACTCTGTGAACTTTATATGTTTGTCAGATGATAAGATATTACTGTATGACCGACTTAATTCTGAAAAAGTAACAAATGTGACATTATGAAGTGTTTCTTTGTTAAACAAGAGACTGACAGGAAATGAACAAGGGACGTTACATCACACGGTCAGTACCTAGTCCACAGGACTCCCTTTGACTTTTGAGCTTCCTTCTTCTTCTTCTTCCAAGGCATTTTGATATTTTTGTGGATTTAATACAACACGTATAAAATCCAGTTTCCTTACTTTTTGCCCCAAATATTACAATAAGGCAGGAAATTAAAGATATAAGTTAGTGGTTTAGAACAACCATCAATTACCGATTTAATAATAGTCATGCTTATTCCATCACTGTCAGTCGATGTCTTATTGTCACATTTATGAATTATATGTCTAACCTCCATTTCTTCAATTGGTTTAAGGAACATAGAATGCTGATTTTTTTTCAATAAGATTAGCAATAGTGCCATAGGACACATCATTGTCACAAATATTCTTTGCTAATTCAGGCCGCACATTAACAAAGAAGTCATTGAATTTAATCAACCTAAGCTGCATGTCTTTGGATTATGGGAGGAAGGTGGAGTACCTGGAGAAAACCCACACAGACAGGGAGAACATGCAAAGTCCATACAGAAAGGTCCCGCTATTAACAGTTTAATAAAATCAAGATAATGTAAAACAAGATTTGTTTTTGTGAAAATTTATTTTCTAGATTCTTATTTTTTTCTAAAGTTTATTTTGCATATTTGCACACTTTAATTAACAATATATATATTGTATTTTGAATTCTACCCTTTTCCTTATTTAGATCTAGATAACATGGTGCACTTTGTCTGTAATGTTTGTAAAATATAATCATATAATCAGTAGCATTTGTGCCAGGATTACCTCTAGGCTTATTTACACTAATGCTGTTATTCTATTTCTCTATTTACCTAGGTAAGGTACTTCTTTGTTTTATAGAGCCAGTACCAGGCAATGGAATAGGGGCCATACAGTGGAAAATAAAGCAGGCTGGGCCGCATCAACACTGGAGGCTATGCTTGGTGATGGTTAAGGGAAATACGGGGTATACCGCTTGTTAGGTTCTGATAGTGGAAATGCAGCATGAGTCTTTTAGAAAACAACATGCCCCTTTATCAGAAATCACCTGGTAATTGGACACTTCAGATCAAGGACTGGAGGAAAGGACATCTCATGCCAATATGAACATATTTCCTCAATTCATCTCTCCTTGCGAATTTTCCTCTCATTATTTTCCTCATATCTTACGTGGGCGGGACTAAAATGCAAGGAAAAGAGTGAGGGAAATGTGGATCAAATTAAGAGATTGAGATTCACCTAATGCATTTTCCCATGGTTTTTCTCTCGACACTGGGAAAATGCCAATGGGCCTTAATTGCAGCTAGGTTTGCTCACTTGCATCTTTTCCTTGTGTCTTAGTTCCACTCATGTAAAATGCAAGGAAAAGATGCAAGGACAGAGAAATCGAGGAAACACAGTTTTTTATACATGAACAAAAGGTAACTTCTAATGCAACCTTTTACCCATTTGTCAGTGTGAGTGTGTAATATAATATTTTAAAGGTCAGAATACATAGATTATTGATGGTAATAAGTCCTGAGCATCAAAGATGTTCCCAGCAGGTTAAATTTCAATCTTTTGAAATACGTAGTCCCAAAGAGAGTAACATTCAAAGATCCTGAATATATGGTTAAGTCAGTATTTCAAACAGGTCAGACTTTAAGGTCAAATCCTCCCATACCTCGTCTCAGGATGTCAAACTGGTAAAGCAGGCTGGAAGTACGGCGGTTGTTGAGGACAGGCTGACGGCTGTTGTTCTGGGTCGCTGCACTGATACCTGACTGATAGAGACTCGCCTTGCCCGGTCGGTTCTCCTCTGGGTCCATCTGTCGGTTTGGGGCATCTCTTCGTGCAGAAGGGGCCAGTTGGTGTGGGTGACCCTGAGGTAGGGTGTGGGGTGGACCCCTGGGTCTGGAGTTGGGGTGTCCCTCTGGTTTGCTCTGCTGAGATGGGCTGATGTTGGACTGGGCATCCTGGTTGGTTTTCTGCCCAGTGCGGTTGTTAGCTGCACCTGTGGCTCCTGTCAGCGGGGTTTTGGGAAGCAGACCAACAACTTCTCTGGCTTTGTCACTGTTGTGCTCCACTAGACGATCGCTCTTGGGGGCCTTTTTGCTCTTGTTGTGGGGAGTGTGTTGGTGAGGGATGGGGGCCAGGTCACTGTGCTTTGGCCACACAGCTGAGGGTAAAGGGTGGAGGGTGAATTTGGACTCGCTGGTCTTACTGCTCTTCTCTAGAAGCTCATTGATGGGCAGGGAGGGCTCTTTCACCACCAGCCTGCTCTGGTTGCTCAGGTCCATAAAGTTGCTCTGACCCTTTTCTATCAAGGTGTACAGCTCTGAAACACACACAAAAAAAACTATTTTATATAGTATTTTAATGCACAATTAACCTATCTCTACCCCTACAACAATGGATTAATGTAGGCAAAGTTACTGAGGATATTTCTTAAAATGTACATTGAATATTTCTTGATTTATGGCTTCACTTTACTTTAAATGACATGATAATTATTTTCTTAGCCCTTAAATTTGGACTATTGGTAACTTTCACTATGACAATGTGACACTTTATTCTACGCAGTAGCATGACACGTGTTGGTCAATGTGTGGGACAGAAAAGTGTAACATGACAGTAATCTACATCCAAGATATTAAAAATTGAAGTCATAAAACTCTCCCAATCTATTAGAGTCGTAAGAAGTGTCAGAATTTAGTCACTTGACATTTTATGTAATAAATTCTTTGAAATGTAGCCTTTCCTTTTGGTAAATCCTACCAAATCTTTGACAAATAACAGAATAACACCGATGTGTGTGAGTAGGTGTGTGTATATATATATATATATA